AAAATTTATTAAAACTAAAATAAAAGGCTACAATCATATTAAACCATATTTTAAAACCTTACTTGACGTCCCTAGTTAAACTGCTGAAGCAGATTCGGTTACAAAACGGGTGGGGTATGTGCTCTAATCCATTTGGAAGAAAAACCCAACAAAACGCAGCCTAATCCTGGAAACCTGATCAACCTAACTGGCCCAATAAACCTGTTGACTAGATCCAATTAGTTTTAAAATATATATTTTTAAAAAAATAATTATTTACTTTTTATTTATTTTATCTTTTTATTTTAATTAATTTCATTTTTTAAGTTACTTTTAAGGTGATTTATAAGTTATTTTTAAAGTGATTATGTCTTGAAAGTAGGATAATGCCATTATATAGCAACAAAATATACAAAGAAGACTTAATATCACTAAAAATCCTCCAATTTTATTAAAAAAAAGTCATTATCATCCTTCTACTTTAAAACAATTCATAATAATCCCTCAACTTTAGTGAATGGGCCAACCGGAATTCCTCCATTGACGGAAGCTATAACATCGTCAACTTGTCCATTAAAATATTCCAAATTTTAATGGTCAAATAACATAGTTGGCACCTTAACTTGAGTTCTTGCACACTTTGATCCTTAAAATTAAAATAATCATTTTAATCCCTGAGTTCAACTTTTTTTATTATAATTTAGCTCTAAAACTTTTGAAAGAGATGCATTTAAATCTCAAAATTTCTAATTTCGTGCTTTTTAGGCATTTTTTTACACAAACAATAAAAATTATGCAACTTTCAATAAAATCATATTTAAGTATTCAACTTGTTCAAATATTAATAAAATTAAATATGAAATAGTAAACTAAAATCTATAAAATTATGTAATCAAAGTTTAAAATTAATTTTTTAATACCATATTTATCTCAAAAATAGCTTTTAATACTCAATTTGAAATCCTATGAAGTTGCTATAACCAAGGTGGTAAAATTGTGAATGATATGGGAATGACTTATGAATGTAGTGTAAATGTAGTTGTGTAAATATTATGGATTGATGATGACTTTAGGCGATGTTTGTATGGTTATGAGTGTATAACAATAAAAAGAAAACAAACATCTCTTATTTACCTTTTTTTCTCTCATAATGGTGATCCTCCCCCGCCCCCCACCCCCCCTTCTTTTTTTCTTTTGATGTGAGTTACATGTATGTAGCAAATTAAATTTCCCTTTTTTTTTTAAGGATCTCAAACTAGACATTAAAAATGTGATTTTTCACTACGATAAAATAAATTTTATGTATAGCTTCACCATTTGGTTGTAGCATTTTGCATAATTTAAATTGAGTATAAAAGATATTTTTAAGACAAGTGGGTATTAAAAACTTGATTTCACACTTTGATTATATAAAGGACGATGATACGTGTACCAATCGGTTTGACACCCGGCAGGACACACCCAAATAAAATTTTATTTAAAATAGAATAATACTGGTTTAGATATTATGAGAATATTCTTAACCCCTTCATCCATTCATCCACTTATTTTTATTTGTGGTACCAAGCACACGCCAAGAATAATACCCAAATTTGTTCCTACTTTGTTTTGCATAATCTGAGTTTGGATTGAGCATCAAGTTGGTGTAGGGATGTCAACGGGGCCCCGCGGGGCTGGGGAGTCCCTCCTCGTCCCCGTCCCCGTCCCCGTCCCCGCGAATCACGGGGACGAAGATCCCCACGGGGATTTTTTGCGGGGGGCAGATTTTGCCCCCCGTCCCCGTTCCCCGCGGGGATCCCCATTCCCCGCCAATTAATCTCATCAATAACACCACCCGACTCATCTACCAAACAAGAGATCATATTTCAAATAGAAGCATTCATTCATTTTTTGACCAATCAATTCATTTACCAGACACAAACAAAGATATCCAAGACATAGGCATATAGCATTCCGATCCAATGAAGGACTATAATGAACTAAGATTTTATGAAGAATAAAGGAAATAACGACAAAGAAGCACCCAAATCTTCTAGTATCTACACTTTGCCAAAGTTACTTAAATTCCAATTTGTTACACAGTTTGGTTGCTAAGAAAGCTAAAGAAAAAGGAAAGAAATTTGGATTCAAGTTTAGAAAATCTTGAAAAGTTCAAACATTTTACTAGAAGAGTCGGAGAAATGTAACATTAATGGCACTAAGAGAGTTGATTACTCCAACATAATCAAAAGAAGAATCAATAAAACAGAAAGGCTTGCTTTCTTTTCTTTTCTGCAGGTTTCTCTCCAACCAAACAGAGCATTAAACAAACACATTAATAAAAAATCAAAAACCTTTAAGATTAAATGTTAAACTCCAAGAACT